GGGGGGGGGGGGGGGGGGGGGGGTGGCGAGTGCCATGATCTGATTTATGTTTTACAAGGTGAACAAAGTTAGAGAGTGCAAGAGATACTGCAGAGGGAGAAATGCAGCTCCTCTCTGAACCATAGTCATCCAGACCAAACCCACAGCTGGAGTCACCCCAAAAGTGACAAGGGAGTTCCCACAAGGGAGTGCCCCAAACCATGCTGAGATGGGGCCATCAGGATTCCAAAGAAAGAAGCACTAAATGCCAGGGTGATCAGTCCAAAACATTTATTAGGGGAACTTACAGAGTGGGCTGCAGCACCTTCCAGACAGACAGCGAGAAAAAGATGTTCTACCTGGGTATGTCTGCAGCAAGGGGGGCAGGGTAAGGAGTTTATATGAGGGTTTAAGGAATTTGTCTCAGGGCCGGGGCCAGTTTCTTTCAGTGTTTTGGGCAACAACCTAGATACCTTTATCAGTGCCTGGGAATGTTGAAGGCGGGGAAACCTGCAGCTCTCTGGGTCACAGAGCAGTCAAGGCATTCTGTGTTTCTCGGTCAGGATAGAGAAGAAAGTGGGAGAAACTGGGGATCCTGCACATAGCGACCACCCCCACCCTTGGCCACCCGGGCCTTGCCCTCAGCTGAGTCCCCCTGAGGCCGGCCTTGGGCAGGCTCCAGCCCACTCTCCCTCTTGGTCTTGGCCTTGGCCCTGCAGTCGCCCCTGTCATCCTCCTGGAGTCGCACTGTGCAGCGGCCCGTGACATGGTGCAGTGCCTGTGTGTGGTGAAATCCAACCCGGAGCCATCTGTGGCCTTCGAGCTGCCGTCGCGCAATGTGACTGTGAACGAGACCGAGCGGGAGTTTGTGTACTCAGAGCGCAGTGGCCTCCTGCTCACCAACATTCTCACGCTGCGGGGGCAGGCCCAGGCCCCACCCCAGGTCATCTGTCTGGCGAGGAACCTCTATGGCACCAAGAGCCTGGAGCTGCCCTTCCAGGGAGCCCGTGAGTGCTGTGGCCTAGGGATGGGAGCCACAGGAGGGAGGGGGCTCCTCTGGGATCCAAGCTCCCCCCACCCTGAGGCTGGCTATCAGCCACTGAGCTGGGTCAGGCTATGCAGATTGATAAAGCGGTAGAGGATTCCCACCCTGGCTGGTGAGGCGCGGCCACCCTGAGTTTGCCCCCACTTTATGAGCTCCTCCCCTTGGCCCTCTAGCAACTAATGGAGCCTCCAGCTAGTCAGTCAGTGCAAAGATGTGCCAGCTGTGTAAATATTTTGACTATCACCCCAGTATGTCTCCTAAGAACCCAGGTGTCCTCATTACCACCAGCAGCCCTGAGGGCGCCTGGGTCTTCTCCGTCCTCAGACCGACTGATGTGGGCCAAGATCGGGCCGGTAGGAGCTGTGGTTGCCTTTGCCATCCTAATTGCCATCGTCTGCTACATTACCCAGACACGCAGAAAGTGAGTGCCTGGAGGGCAGCCCTGCGTGTGGGCACAGCGGGTTCTATTCGGGGAATGCTCAGCTGGACAGCTGAGAGCGGGCTCCTGTGAATTCGAGCCTCTGTCGGTCGGAGGCATGCCAGTAGCTGGGCTGAGCGCTTTACACGAATCGTTCATTACCTGTTACCCTACGTTCTGCGCTGTCGCCTCCCTGTCCCCAGGAACTGTCCCCGACACACTCCAGCATGATGGGGAAAGCCCAGGTACCCCTGGCTACAGCCACAGCATCAGTCCTAGTTGGTTCCAGAAGCCCTAAAGAATACACACACCTGTGGCAACAAAAATACTCCCCAGCCCCAAACCACACCCACCTGGCGCAACTGAGCTGCTGTTATTTTTTTTCCTTGCAGCACATACATACATATCAGCTGTCCTGAAAGTGAATTAATCTCCCTGCTCCACATCTAGGCAGCAAGAGGGACAGACAGACCCAGAGCATATGAGGGAACCCAGAGAATCCAGACTGGGGGCTTGGAAAGTGGCAGTGACCAGAGGCCAGGTGGCTCATCCTCGTACAGGATAGGAGCCGCAGCGGCAGGGGAGGGACGGGCCCTGGTGGACAGAGAGAGGCTGGTTGTTTTGAAGAGGCTGTTTGCCCCATCGTAGAGAGATGTGTGAGGGCAACTCCGCAGTCTCCTGAGCCAACCTGTGAGGTAGACAGGGGTGCAGGAAGGGAGGGGAGAGGGAGGCCTGGGAATCCCCCTGGGGCTGATGTGTCCTGCCCTGCAGAAAGAACGTGACAGAGAGCCCCAGCTTCTCCGCAGGGGACAACCCCCCCGTCTTGTTCAGCAGTGACTTCCGCATCTCTGGGGCGCCGGAGAAGTACGAGGTGAGGGCCAGAGCCCCATGGCTCCAGGCTAGCTGGGGACCCTGGATGCCAGGGACACCGAGGGCCTGGGCAGGACCCGTGAGGCCAAGGGGCCGAGGGGGAGGCCAGGCCTTAAGGGGGAGAGGAAGGAAGTGTGGAGGCCTGGGTTGGACCTGGAGGCTGGGGAGCAGCTGCCTGGGCTGAGGCTGTGAAGGGCTGTGGGGTGTGGGGCCCAAGGCAGCCCTCATCCTCCCGGCCTGTGTCTGTGACTGCATTTCCTTCTCCAATAGTCCAGAGAGGTCTCTACCCTGGAATGTCACTGAGCGCCCCAGGAGGTAGGTTCCAGGGGCCTCAGTGTGCCTGCCTCCGGGCCCTTGTTGGGCCTTGAGGCTGGTGTGCATGTATGTGCGTCCCTGTCAGGCTTCCAAGATGGTCTCTGGTTAAGTCTGGCCCTGCCCGGCAGTCCTGGCCTTGTCTCTTCTGTCTCATTGCTGCTCCTTTCTGTCTGTGGCCACCGTCCTGTGTGTGTGTCCAAATACCCGTGGCGGGGACAGGATGTGCGGGGAACAGGGATGGAAAGCGTGATTGGGAAGCCGAAGTCCTATCTGTAGGATCTCCCAGACTGAGGAGGGAGACCATGCCAGATCCAAATAGGGGAAGGATTTACAGAGCCAGGCATTTCCAAAAATTTGGGAAAGTGAGATCCTGATTTGGTGGCTTTAATGTGGGAAGGTGTTTATGAGTTGAATTGTATGGCCCAAATTCCTGTGTTGGAGAAGCCTTCCTGGAAAAATCAATTTTGTAGGTAAATTATAAGGTCAGCAATGAGGAGGTCATTGTGTGTAGGTGTGTCAGCACTGGCACAGGCCCCAGAGGATGACTTGAAGAGTATGGGGCTCGCTGGCCTGGTGTTCCTTGAGAAAGGAGGTTCACACGGGGCTTTGGCACTGAACTTGGGAGCTATAGGGGTGTGAACACACCAGCCTTTGCATCAGGAAAAGGTGGGGACAGGACCCTGCTAATGGGTTGTTTCCCCTCATAGAGAGAGAGGCGCTTGGGATCTGAGAGGAGGCTGCTGGGCCTGCGGGGGGAGCCCCCAGAGCTGGACCTGAGCTATTCCCACTCGGACCTGGGAAAACGACCCACCAAGGACAGCTACACCCTGACGGAGGAGCTGGCTGAATATGCTGAAATCCGCGTCAAGTGAAGGGGCTGGGGGCAGCCCATGTGGACGACCCCCGCCCCTGGGACCCTTGTGGGCCCCCACTGGCTGTGGGCTCCCTTCCTCCCCAAAGTAGCCGGGGTTGGGGCAGCAAGTGGATGAGGCACGTGACAGTGAGGTCCTGGGGGCCTGGCCTCCCCCTCCTTCTCAGCTGCTCCCTCCCTGCAGCACCCCCATTCCCACATTACAACTCCCCTCTAACCTCCTTTAACCTCATCTGTCTGGAGGGGAGCTCTGTCTGTCCGTGTTATTTATTGCTACCCCCTGCCTTGTCTCCCCACCCTCCACCTGCCCATCCCCCACCTGGCCCCAGGACCTATACAAAAGGGACATGAAATAAATGTCTCAAAGCCAAATACCAGTGTAGATCCTGATGATTTCTGACCTGTGCTTGGGGAGCCTGCCATCCCACTGTCTACAGAATGATCACAGAGTTTCTTCTTGCCCTCTATTGGGTCTTCGGGGGGAGGGCAAGGACCCAGGGATTCTAGCCTTGAGCCTGGGCCAACTGCCATTAAATTGCTCCCAGCTGGTGCTGTGGGCTGGGTCTGGTTTGACTTCTGGGTGACTTCACATAACAACCTCATTCCTGCTTCCGCTGCTATGAGATCAACTGACAGCACTGGGCTCACACTGGCACATGGCCATGACTTGATGGAAGGGAGGTGGCTGCCCCTTCCGAAGGGCATGGGCTCTCCGTCTGCCACAGTCCCCACCATGTCCTGTTGTCCCATACCTGGCTGGCTCACTCACTGACATTGCCTTCTAGTCCCTGCAGGCCAGGGGTGGGAACCCCAGATCTAGGTGTCTTGAGTCTGTGTTGGTTTGGCACCATCCCTCCCATTCATGCTGCACTCTGCAGCTTCAGCCTGTCAAATGTCACTATATGTGGTTCAAGAAATGTCAATTGGGCACCAGCTGTGTACCGAGCCTCTTGAGGAAGCTCAGGCTATCCTGAGTAGGGATCCCCAGGACAACCCTATGAAGATAAGAATAGTGGGCCTCAGAGAAACTAGGTGATTTTCCCAGGGTCCCAGAGCTAGGAAATGGTGAGGCCAGACCTTGGACTCCGGTTCCCGCTCACTGGCTGAGCGAGGTGCGGGCGCGACACCGAGGGTTGTGATCCGTTGCCAGACACGAAAAAAGACAAAAAAGAAAAAAAAGNAGGTGCGGGCGCGACACCGAGGGTTGCGATCCGTTGCCAGACACGAAAAAAGACAAAAAAGAAAAAAAAGAAAAAAAAAAAGAAATGCACTTTTTCTATAATACTTGTCAGGAATTTAAAGATGGCTAGACTCTTTGATACAAATGATATTAATAACTAACATTTGTTGGCTCTTACTACATGCCACACGATTCTACTCAATTTACGTGGATTAATCTCCATTTACCTTCCCTAGCAACTATGACAATGGTTCTCAAAATATGGTCCCTAGCCAGCAGCAGCAGCATTACCTGGGAACTTGTTAGAAAGGCAAATTCTCAGGTCCCACCCAAGACTGCAGGAGTCGAAAACTCTGGGTGGGGCCCAGTCATCTGTGTTTTGCGCTCCAGGTGATTGTGGTGCACACTGACATTTGACAACCTGGAGTTTGTGAGGCACAGAGAGGTTTTAAGTCACTTCCTTGAGGTCCCCCAGCTGGTAATGGTGGATTGCAGATTTGAGCCTCGACTCCTGGCTCCAGAGGCCACGCTCTGACTACTGTGCTGCACTACCAGACTGGTAAGACCCAACAGCCATGCACAGGGCCCTGCAGGTTCTCAGGGAGCAGTAGGGATAAAGCGGTGGGTCTGCAGGCAGTTAGGGCAGGGTTTCCTAAGATGACTGTTCTCCCCTGGTTTTTGAAGAAAGCAGAGGATACAAGACAGAGACCAAAGTAAAGCCATAGAGGCAGGAATAAACAAACCATGTTGGGAGAGCAAGGTGATGAGACCACTTGAGCTGGAATGGAAAGTCCACATGCTGGAGAAAGGAAGAGAGGCTGTGGTGGCTGGGGCTGTGAGCCATGGGGAAGGGACCTCCATGGGTCCTGCCCAAGCCTGGTCAACTGTTTGCCCTTCCTCACAGAGCTTGCAGTCTTGTAGGGAGAAGGCCATGAAACAATCTTGCATGTGATGCCAAACTGCAACTTAAACACCTGCTCTCCACAGAGAAGCTCAGGGCTTTCAGAGCACAGAATCTAAGTGTCACTTACGGTCTCAGGGGTCAGGGGAGGCTTCCCTATGGAAGGAAAGTCATGCAGATGTGAAAGCCCCAAGTGGGAACATGTTTAGTGAAATTTCAGGAGCTTAAGCAAGGACAGAGAGGCTGGAAGGGTGGTGTGACATGAGGCAGAGAATAGGTAAGGGCCTGTCGACGGCCAGAATGGAAGTTTCTTCCAGATCTCCTGCACACACGCTCATGGGCCCCACCCTTACACACCCATGTCCTGACAACAGACCCTGGCTCCAGTGGGTCTGGCCTGGTAGGAATTCTGCTGAAGACTTTGCCCTGAGGCAGAGCAGTGTCAATAAACGACGACGGGGAGTAACCCTGTGCTTCCCAAGCGCAGCCCGAACGCCATGCTGGTGGGCGAAATGATCGCAGGAGGGGCGTGGAACAACTTTAACGTTACTCTTTCTGTTTCATTCAGTATGTGCCAGAACAAAAGGAAACCGTTATACCAAACAGGCATGCAGAGCAGTGTCAATAAACGACGACGGGGAGTAACCCTGTGCTTCCCAAGCGCAGCCCGAATGCCATGCTGGTGGGCGAGATGATCGCAGGAGGGGCGTGGAACAACTTTAACGTTACTCTTTCTGTTTCATTCAGTATGTGCCAGAACAAAAGGAAACCGCTATACCAAACAGGCATTTTTTTTTTTTTATAAAAGCTTAGGATGAGGCTAAGTTTAAAAAGTGTTTTAAATCAATCAAGAGAATTGACTTAAAATAGAGTATTATATAAAAATGTTTTAGGTGGTTTACGGACCAGGCAAAAGTCCTAAAGGCTGTAGGCAAATCTCTAAAGTCTGGGAGGTAGTTTGAACTCCATTAGGAGTGACTAACACTCAGTGATGACACACAAGTAGGACATGAATTCAGGATCAGGCTGTCTGTTTATTGAGCATCTCTGTGTGCCAGGACTATGCTGGGTCCTCGGGGTACAGCTGTGCCCAGAAGAACCACTCTCTGACTTCCTGGAACTGACATTCTGCGGAAGAGACGGATGACAGTCCTGTAGGTCAGACAGTGAGCAAGCTAAGAAGGAACCCTAAGCAAGACAGAGATCAGCACGTGCTGAGCAAGCCTGCTGTGTTAGAAAGAGAGGTCATCTGAGCAGAGACCACAGAAGTGAAGGAGGGAGCTCTGTGGGTTTCTGGGGAATGTGGGTCCTGGGAAAGCCAAAATCAGGTGCAAAGACCCAAGGCCAGAATATACTTATTATGCTCATGGAAGCCGAAGGAACCCAGCATGCCCAGGAGGAATGAGGGAGCCGGAGTGGTCACCAGGGGAGACCCATTCCAGAAGGCCTTCTAGGCCACGGGCAGGATCGGGCTTTTACTCTGAGTGAATAGGAAGCCACTGGGGAATTATATTCAGAGGAGTGTTATGGAGGGGCTTGGGGTTTCACAGGGCAGCTGTGTGCGTCGTGAGCACAGGTGAGCAGTAAAGCAGGAAGAGGGCTTGAAGGCTGGCGGTTGTCTAAGAGAGAGGGCATGGAGGTGCAGAGGGGCAGGGCGGGACGTACTTTGGAGGAGGAATTGATGGGTCTCACTAATGCTGGAGGTGAGGGAAAGAGAGGAGTCAAAGACAACTCTGGCTGCTTCCTTAGATGCTGAAGAAAGCGGAAGGAACAGAACATGGGAGTGATCTACTCTGGCTGTGTTCAGGCCCAGAGGGACAGGAAAGGCAGATGGCACCCCTCCCTTGAAAAACGCCACACTGAGGTAGAGTTAGGACCCATGACACAGTGACTCACACCTGTTGACTCAGAGAGATAGGGACAGAAGTGGGAGATGAGGTCTGGTTGGGCTGAAAGAGAGGCGAGCAGATGTCATGGTCTCAGATGCCGGGAGGGATGAGCCACCTCATGCAAGAGGAAGGACATCCAGGCACCAGACCGTGATGATAAGGCAGGTCTCTTTGTCCCTTCCCTCTTGCCAACCTTCTCATTTCAGTCGCTCCTGGCAGAGATGACCTGTCTGTCCCCGGCTCATCCCTCACCCTGTCCCTAAGACCATGCCTGGAGCGGGCAGCTCCATTGTCTTCATCAATGGAAGGGCTGCAGGCCGGTGCTGGCTACTGCAAAGCCTCCTCCCTGCTCACCGCCCCAGGGCTGGGGACTCCCCCCACTGCTCAGGAGGAGCCAAGCCTCCTTCTATCTCCACCCTCCTCATTCTCAATAGGAGGTGACAAGCTCGCCTCAAAGGCAGGGCAGCAGCCAAGCAGAAGACCCTTTCCTGCCCCAAAGCTCGGTCTGCCAGGAATATTTCTCTGGGGAGTGGGAGGGAAACAACATATTGGTCTCAAAGGGCCTGTCTGTCAGGCTCATGAAAGAGCTGAGCAGCCGGAGGTGTGTGAACCAATGTCACTGCAGAGTGCTGGTCAGCAGAGTAAGTGACAATGTCTGTAATAAGAACACCCCACTCTTGGGAGTGCTCATTCCATGACAGCCACTGTGCAAAGTGCTTCACATGCTCACGGATCTCTCCCAGCACCCTTGTGAAGTCGGCAACACCAATCTCCTTATCACCCTTAGAGGGGAAACTGAGGGCGTGTCACAGCTGACAAGTGACAACTGGGATTCGAGCCCAGGTCTATTTACTGCATGCTTGTCATGAGCTGCATGTGCTGCTGAGGGGGTCATGCATGTGATCTCACTAACCCCGTGAGGAAGGCACTATCATCCCCATCTTACAGTCCTGGGCTGACAAGTGACAACTGGGATTCGAGCCCAGGTCTATTTACTGCATGCTTGTCATGAGCTGCGTGTGCTGCTGAGGGGGTCATGCATGTGATCTCACTAACCCCGTGAGGAAGGCACTATCATCCCCATCTTACAGTCCTGGTCAGGGGGCAGGGGCGTACAGCCAGCAGGGAGTGGCAGCCCAGGGATCACAGGGCCCCTTTAGTTGCCTGGCCTCACTGCTTCCCTGGTGAGGAGGTGACAATGAAGTCACCCAAAACTGAAACCTCTTTGGAGGGAAAGATGGAAGAGTGAAGGCACCAAAGCTACTGTTCCCAGGAGTCCTGCTCCCCCACCCTTGCCTTGTCCACAGAGCCCTTTGCCTCCGGAAATCAAGTCATGTCCAGGAAGCCGTTGCTCCGTCTCCTTCTGTTACAAGACTATGAGCAATGCCTGGCGCTGTGGCTG